ATCATCGTCGTCGTCGTCACAGGCACAGTCGTTGCCGCACGCACCTCCACCGCCTTTGTCCACGGATGCAACAGCAGTGAAGGAGGAGGATGATGGTGGCAGTGGTGGTGGTGGTCATGGCCAAGCAGCAGATGGGGCTGTGCGCGTGCGTGGCGGGAGCGAAGCAGACTCAACAGCAATATCGCCAAATGCGCGCATTGGGAGCTCGACCAACGCGGCGGCACCACCGCCATCAGCAACGACAGCAACAACAACGACGACAACGACAGCAGCAGCAGCAGCAACATCTTCTTCCTCTAGCGGTGGTCGTCGTGCTGTGTCGTCGTCGTCGTCGGCATCACAGTCGCAGTCGCAGTCACCGTCACCGACGCGTTCTCCAGGTGCACAGCGCGCCTTCTTTGAGCGTCGCATGGGGGCGTTGTCTCGGCAGTCCACGACAGAGTGTTTCACCTACTTGGAAACGCCCCTGCCGGGCATGACGTCATACCTGCGATCACGCACCCGTGGTATGTTTTGTGTGTGTGTGTGTGTGTGTGTGTGTGTGTGTGCGTGTGCGTGAGTGTGTGCGTGTGCGTGAGTGTGTGCGCGTGTGTGTGCGTGTGCTGCTGCTGCTGTAGAGCGCGGCTTCTCTCATCCCATGTCGTATGGCTGCCAGCTTTCTCACCATCACCATCACCATCACCATCACCATCACCATCACCATCACCATCACCACTCACGTGGCGCGACAACAGCGCGGTCGCAGCTGCCGGCGTCGGCAGCGGCAATGCGGGTGACGCACCTGCTTGAATCGCTCTTCCGCGTGCTGTGGTCCGGAAAGTGGGCGGTGCTCACCCCGGCCGCTATCCTTGGATATGTGTGGCGGATAGCGCCGGCATTCCGCGGGTACCGGCAGCAGGACGCGCAGGAGCTGCTGCTGCTGTTGGAGGACGCTGTGCTGAGCGATCTGGCGAGCGTCGAGAAGCGCCTGAAGCACGTGGCGCCGCCGCCCGCGTCGCTGTTTATCCTGCGCAGTGCACTGCAGGGCCAGTTGCAGACGACCGTGCAGTGCACCACCTGTGGCCGCGAGTCCACGACGCAGCAGCCGTTTGCATATCTGCCCATCGACGTGCCGGCCGACTGTGCCGGCGGTCGCAGCGGTCGTCGGCGTACGCGCGCCGCCACACGCGCGCAGACACGCAATGGTGGTGGTGGTGGTGGTGGTGGTGGTTCGGACGCGAGCAGCACTGGGCGCACATCACCTGCATCATCATCATCATCATCACCAACCTCATCGTCGTCGTCTGGGGGAAAAGCGTTTGAGCTGGGCCCACTACTGTCACGGTTCTTCGCTGCGGAGCGGCTGGACGGGGTGTACAAGTGCGACGCGTGCTCACCCGTGCCGACACAGCCAAGCAAGCGCGCAAAGCGAAGCATTGCACGCGCCAAGCGCCAGGCTGGCGGCAGTACTGGCAGCGTTGGTGGTGATGGTGGTGATGGCCGTGAAGGTGAGGAGGTTGGTGATGCTACTGCTGCTGGCACTGGGGCGCAGCAACAACAACAGCAGCAGCAGCAGCGAGCGCGAGGGCGGCGGGCGTCTGATGTGTCGGGGGACGTGAAGCGGCCGAGACGGCGACACAGCCGAGCGTCGACTCGCCTCAGCACCACCGATGATGGTGATGGTGATGGCGATGGCGATGGTGATGGTGGTCGCAGCAAGAATAACAACAGCAGCAATAGTAGCAGCAACGGCAACACGGGGAGTGGAGTGGGTAGAGAACAGAGCGCGCCGTCGCAAGCGCACTTCCAGGCGCTATCACAACCGTCATCATCATCATTATCATTGTCATCATCGTCACCGTCCATGCCATCGTCGTCCTCATCGTTGTCGTATGTGCTGCGGTCGGCCATCAAGTCAACAGCAGTGTCCACGCTGCCGAGCGTGCTCAAGATCCACCTCAAGCGCTTCTGCTGGGAGGGAACACAGCGATGCAAGCTGCAGCACCACGTGGCGTGCCCCCTAACCCTGGATATGGAGAGCTACTGCGCGCCCGGGTGCGTTGTTGACGCTGACGGCCGGTTTGGAGAGACGGTGTATGACCTGGCTGCTGTGATCACGCACGAGGGGCGCGACTTGAATGCGGGCCACTACAAGTGCTACTGCAACCTGCGCGGATCTGCACAGCACTCTGATCGGTGGATTCTTGCCAACGACGCGCGCGTGCGCATTGTCTCTGTGGATGAGGTGTTGTCTGCACAGGTGTATGTTGCGTTTTACGTGCACCGTGCAGTCACCGATTACGTCTCTGATTTCCTGCACGTGTATCCCGACACCCCGCTTGTTCCACACCACTGATGTGTTTTGACAAGGACATGCACATGTGTTAGTTTGTGTGTTTGTGTGTGTGTGTGTTTGTGTGTGTGTTTGTGTGTTTGTGTGTGCTTGTGTGTGTGTGTTTGTGTGTTTGTGTGTGTGTGATACACGTGTGCGTGTCAGTACTGGTCTTACATCGTACTTAGCTCGCAGCCAGGCCAATATATGCCATTGGGACCCCATCGAAAAGCAGCAGCCAAGCAAAACAACGGAGACCAATCATCCACAACAAAGGGCACAGACAAGGCGCGCGCTCACTTTGAACAAACCCCACGAACATGCCATGGACGCAACAAAGCAGAGCAACAACAAACGCGGAACAACACTGGATACAGCACAGTGCAATATCAAAGTCAAGAAGGTGTGAAGCACGCGCTACTGTGCTGTACGGCGGGGAATCCGCCGGGAAACATAGCTAAGGATGGCTTCGTCCAACACAGGGGACTCCGTGGCAGCTTGCTCGGCGGGGTGAGAGACTAACGAAGAAAAAGCAATGCGATGGGGTGGGTAACAAAATAGCAAGCGTGAGTGAGCAGCTGGCACATGTAGACCGTTACATGCATGCAAGCACTGGAAGTCGACAGCAAAGAGCCATTGTGTGTGGAATGGCATGTGCGTTGAAATAACCAGCGCATCCACACGTACATGCCCACACACAACACACGCACACACACACACGCACACACACACACACACACACACACACACACACACACGTAGACACACACACACACACACACGAAGACACACACACACACACACACAGACATACACACACACACACACATACACACACACACGCGCGCGCGCACAAACGAAGACACCCTCCATACACACTCGCACACACACATACACACACATACACACACCTGTGCTGGGGAAGCGGCGAGGCTTGCGCTTGGACGTGAGTGAGCCCGTTGTGTCAGCTTGGAAGGAGAGGGTCAGCTGAGGGCCCTTGGTCTTACTCTTTGCTTTCTTTTGAGGCGCAGCTTTGCTGACTGTCTGTTGTGCCTGTGTTCCATCCAAGTATGCCAACACATCCCTAGCCAGTGACCGAGTATGCGCATGCGCGTGCGTGTATGCGAGTGAGTATGTTGCGTGTCAGTCAGTGAGTATATGTTGCGCGTGTGTGAGCGAGTGAAGCGCGCGCGTGCGTGTGTGCGTGCACGGGTGTGCATTGGAGAAAGGGGAGTACAGTGTGGCTGTGCAATGGTGGCGTGAGAGCGATGCCACGTGGTGGTGACCCTCCTAGTGACTTGTAGTGTTGCTGTTTGTGGTTCACTGTTGCACATGCACCCTGCTGTCCCCCCTCCACACATGGTCTGACTGACCCTTTGAGGATGTGTCCGCGGGGCCCAGACGGCGTGATCGCGGAAGGGTCGATGCCGTGCTTGAGAACAAGCTGCTTTACAGCAGGCAACAGCGTCTTCTGTTGTGTAGCAGCAGCCACATCACCGCTGAGGCTGGCCGCCGCCGCTCTCATCACCATCAACGCAGCACCACTCGCTCGCATCTCTCTCTGTGTGTGTGTGTGTGTGTGTGTGTGTGTGTGTGTGTGTGTGTGTGGTGTGTGTGTGTGTGTGTGTGTGTGTGTGTGTGTGTGTGTGTGTGTAAAACCAGCGAAACCTGTGCGCAACTGAATTCAGTACACTCACCTGTATTGACTGAATTCAGTTGCTACACAGCGTAACACAGCAGCGGATACGCGTGCGCACACTTTCCAACAAGACACCACAAGACACCACCACACAACACCCACCATAACAGTCAGCCAGAGATGACGGACAAGGTTGAGGATGTCGGCGCTGCCGTTGAGCAGCAGTTGAAGGTGGAGGAGAGGCCTGTGGATGCCACGGTAGCAAACAAGGTCGCTGATGCTTCCGAGAAGAAGCCAAAGAAGGAGGGCAAGAAGAAGAAGAAGAACCAGTTTCTTCTCAAGACACCAAAGGTGTGTGTTCATTGTGTTGTGTGTGTGTGTGTGCGTGTGAGGGGATGGGGTGTGAAGGTACACAGTGTGCGTGTGTGTGTGTTTTCTGTTTATGTGCGAGTGCGAGGGTATACAGTGTGCGGGTGTTCTGTTTGTGTGCGAGTGCGAGGGTATACAGTGTGCACAAGTGCACATTGTGTGCGAGTTGCATGTTCGTCGTGGACCCCCGGTGTTGATCCTCATTCCACCGCCATTTGTGTCGCATCCAAACATGGCAGGGGACGCGCGATTACGGTCCAGAGAAGATGTACATTCGCAACAAGGTGTTTGACACCATTGTTTCTGTGTTCAAGAAGCACGGCGCTGTCAGCATTGAAACCCCTGTCATGGAGCTCAAGGTAAGCATTTCTCGATGTGTTTGTGGAGGGAGGGAAGAGGACGAGGTGGGGGGGGGGAGGTTTGGAGATGAGGGAAGGCAAGGGGTAGGGGCAGAGAGAGCAAGAGGAGTTGTGGATTTGGAAGAGCTTGTTTCGTGGCTGCGGGTGGCGTCCTGAGGTTAATATCATCGCAGGGTGTACGTGAGGGCGTACCTGTGCTTTGTAGCTCATGCATTGGTTCTCTGACACCACCAGGACATTCTCACCGGCAAGTACGGCGAGGACAGCAAGCTCATCTACGATGTACGTTTGAACGTGCTTTGCAAGTGCAACAGCCCGCATGTCTGTCTGTCTGTGTGTGTGTGTGTGTGTGTGACTATGTGCTTGCATGTGTATGTGTGTGTGGCTATGTGCTTGTGTGTGTGTGTGTGTGTGTGTGTGTGTGTGTGTGTTTGTCTGCTTCTCTCGTTCCACACATCCCCTGTCTCTCCGTCGATTTGCCTCCCTCTGCGCGACACGGTGTCAGCTCCACGTCCCAGCGGACCGTGCGTCTCACCACGACGATCGTTGCGTTGCGTGCTGCAGCTTGCGGACCAAGGCGGGGAGGAGCTTGCCCTGCGCTATGATCTCACCGTCCCCTTTGCTCGTTTCGTCGCACAGAACGGCATCAAGCACATCAAGAGGTGTCATGGATGTATTGTTTTGTTATTGTGTGTGTTCCTGTGTGTCCCTGTTTGGCTGTCTGTGTATCTGTGTATCTGTGTGTCTCTGTTTGTATTTGTGTTTGTGTGTGTGTGTGTGTGTGTGTGTGTGTGGACCAAACTCTCACGTGTGCACCCTTGCCCCTCGCAACACTCCCCCCCCCCCTCTCGCCTGCACGGCCAGGTATCACATCGCGCGCGTGTACCGCCGCGACAACCCCAAGATGGAGAGCGGCCGATACCGCGAGTTCTACCAATGCGTAAGCTCCTCCTCGTCCTGCTGCCGTTGTTACGCACGTGGCGGGGTTGTTGATTGTGTGTGCGTGTGCGTGCGTGCGTGTGTGCGTGCGTGTGTGTGCGTTGACGATTGTCGCCATGGAAGTAAGCTTCGTTCCCCGTGTTTACACAAACTTGCTCACACACACACACACACACACACACACACACACACACACACACACACACACACACACACACACACACACACACACACACACACACACAC